AATTGTAGATTGAGGGAATGGGCAGTTCATAGAAATGATTGTAAGAAAGTCCAGCGTGGTTTGATGGTGCAGTTAACAATTTATATCTAAATACGTTGTCTTCCCTTTTGGTTTGACACATATCAGACAAACAAAAAGTCATGTCCTAGTCATATGGTGCCTTAGATTTAGGGAAATAAATAAAAGGGAGGAAAAGAGATATCTCAATCCCTTCATCCTACTGTGATTAACTGAAAGAACTGCATTTGATAAACTCTACTTTGCTATCATTTAGCAGACTCTCCTTAAGTTGATTCTGTTCACCTTATCCAGATGCTATTTAACACACACCTCTGTAGAAGATGTCTTAGTTCCCACACTCCCTCCCACTTTTATACATTAGTCAAACCATTACCTCATTCCTGAAATGACCTCTCTCCCTGATTGCCTAAGTTTACCAAGTCCTCAAAACCTCCTATTTAATTCATATTATACTTTTTAATACACGATGTTCAGTGGGCGAAAGTTGTAAGATTTAAAACATTAATTTGCATTTTAAGGAATTTATAGTATTCTAATGGATGAAACACTTTCAATACAAACTAATACATTATACAAACAATAATACAGCCTTAGACAAGTATACAATTAGTATTTTAATTGGTGAAGCACACTTTAAATATAAGCTAATGCAATATACAAGTAATAACATAGCCTACACATGTAATATACATATAAAATGTATGTCTATGTCATTGTTAATAATATATTAAATGTATTAAGCAAACATAATATAGCCTCATATGTATAAAAAGTAGAAGTGTCTGGGGGGAAGAAGTGAAATCCAGAGAGGAATGCTGAACAATTTTGTAGGATGGGAAATTAGGAGATGGGAAGGGGAAGTTCAGGAAGAATTTACATAACTGCAGTGATCCTCCCTTCTGATACTCTTATCTGCCCTATCACGAGTGATATTTTATACATTGGACCCATCACTTTCTCTGTGTGCTGTATTTTTCTAATGAGATTGTATATTCATGTGAAGAGCAGACATGATTCACCTGTTTTCTCCATTTGACACACTATGCTGCAGAGTTCCTATAATTTTTTCTTGTTGGTTTTTTGCTTTTCCTTTGAGATGGAGTCTCACTCTGACACCAGGCTGGAGTGCAGTGCCACAATCTCAGCTCACTGCAACACCCCCCCCCACCCGACCCACTGCTACATTTGACTGGCTTAATAAAATAAAAAAAGATACCCCTTTCTGTAAAATCCCCTCCACTTTTCCAGGATTACCTACACTACCTCTTTAAGTGCATTCTCAACACACACAGGTTTTATGTTTTGTTTTTTAATATAAATAGAAAGGGGTCTTGCTTCGTTGCTCAGGCTGGAATAGAACTCTTGGTCTCAAGTGATCCTCCCACCTTGGCCTCCCAAATTGCCAGGATTACAGGTGTAAGCCACTGCAACTGGCCCCAACAGGTATGGTCCTAAAGACATCTCACACTTAACAACTAATACCGACAAGGTGCTTCAAGTTTACTGGTCAGGTGTCTCCAACAACTCAGACAAGTGGTACAGCCTGCAAATGAACCCCATTATCCATTGTCTCCATCTTCCTCAGGTTTTCAATGCATACCTACCCACTCCAATGACTCCATTTCTGCCCCCCATGCAGGCAAGGCACCAGAATATTAAATAGAAATTGTGTGTACAGCCTCAAAGAAATTTCCTCAAACTAGGAGGGCATACCCTTTTCCCATTTCCTTCTATTGCTGGCTACAGTGAAGATGTGCATAAAGCAACAGTTATGGAACATAAGAAAGAAGCTGAGGCTGGAAGAACCTCGGGCCAAAGATCAAGG